TTTTTGTAACCTTGGCCAGATCTGTGCTTTGCCACAATTCTGTCTCTGAGCTCTTCAGGCAGTTCCTTTGACCTCATGATTCTCATTTGCTCTGACATGCACTGTGAGCTGTAGGGTCTTATATAGACAGGTGTGTGGCTTTCCTAATCACGTCCAATCAGTATAATCAAACACAGCTGGACTCAAATGAAGGTGTAGAACCATCTCAGGGATGATCAGAAGAAATGGACAGCACCTAAGCTAAATATATGAGTCTCACAGCAAAGGGTCTGAATACTTATGATCACGTGATATTTTAGTTTTTCTTTTTTAATTAATCTGCAAAAATGTCAAAAATTGTGTTTTTCTGTCAATATGGGGTGCTGTGTGTACATTAATGAGGAAAAAAATGAACTTAAATTATTTTAGCATATGGCCACAATATAACAAAGTGAAAAATTTAAGGGGGTCTGAATACTTTCCGTACCCACTGTATACAGTATGCTGTGGCTGCTAATGTAAGAGTGCTCACTTTTACCTTGGTGTGGTATGTGTACATGTTCATTTTTAGTTTTTAATTCACCTATTTGTTTTGCCCTCATTCTTAAGTTTAACATTTCATTTCACTGGATGTAATGGCTCTGGCTCTGTAAGATAATCTTGCTCAACCAATCAAATACAATAACCAAAAATAATTAATTCATCATTGGCATAATTGGACTAATGATAGATCAATCAACAGGCCCAAGTTTATATATATCACTGGCCCTGGGTCATCACACAGTTATCTACCATCAGATTGCACTGTAATGAATCCATCTATTAAGGTAAAGCGTCCCTGGAGAACTGCTGCATCACATTGCAGACGGTGAACTAAATAGCATATATTAAATGGCAAAACACTGGGGACAAATACAGACATGGTCCCCTTAAATTAAATCTTAGACAGTTACAACCCAGAGCTATGTAACAAGTCCAGGGAGCTGTTTACCGAAACTCTACAGTTAAACTTAGTTTGGCACCTTTAGTATCCCGTTTCTATTTTTCATTGCTCAGTGTTTTGCTTATCACCAGTTTAAAATTACAGATGGCTGCTGCACAATGCACACACATGAACCTGGGAATTCGTAGCTATGAAAACGTTTTTTACCACAAGAACTACCTATTTCAAGATGACCATTATGCACATATCCTTTACAGGTTACATACACATTCAATTGTAGCCATGGAGAGCTGACTTCCATGTATTAGTTAACCATTGTCTGACCCACCACTCCATCTCAGTTGTAGATTACAGGAATGTAGCTGCCCTATACTGTGTAGCACATAGTTTTAAATGAACATCAGAGGAACAGCCTGCAGAATATGAGCCTGTCTACCTATTCTTTTCTTGACCAACTTTAAAAACAGGCTTTTCCAAAATAACTAACAATGCCTCTAACTGTATCATAACATCCACACTATATTCAAGCTGCAGTCCACAACTTGGGAGGTTGCAGAAATATAATGACTTAAACGTTTGATGATGACGGTACAGTCAAAGAAAGTGGGCAAAAGTGAAGACTCAGTTTTCTGTAATTAAAGCACATTATCTAGATATTATCTAGGATATTGAAAGCTCTTTGTTAGTCACTGCAGTGGGGAAAGGTGCAACTCAAATAAACTGCTGAAAGAGTCCAAACTGTCCTGCAAGACCTGTCATGAAGAACAGCTACTGTATCTTGACTGAGACTATCCTGACACACCAGGCAGTCAAAAAGCTCTTTCCACATAAAACCATGTTTATCCAACTCCTGTGGAAGGAAGGCCACTCAGGAGGGTAAAATCTAGAAAAACCAGAAGTAACAAAAATGTACACACATCGAAAAGTACTGATAGTTACGGTTATCCAATACCCAATACCGGTGTATAAAAGACATGCCAACCCAGCTGTTTCTATTCTCTGCCTTTTAATAAGTCAAACATCATCTTTTCAAATTTACTTTGATATAGGAGTTGACACACAGACTAATACTGTGTCACCAAGGATTATCTTTCAGCTTTCAGATGATCTGTGACAATAAAAAATGAATTACATTTGTGAGATAAGACAGCAGAAAGAAAAGAGTGTCATTTTCTCTTCTCATGAGTAACGCCTGAAATTTTGTTTCTGTGATCCGTCTTCTCCACAGGTGGTGCCCTGTTAAAAGGTGGCTCGTTAACAACACCTTTACACAAGCAGGGAGAGAAAACACATGACACAGCAGGAGTCTGTTTTAAGCATCTGCTACACAAAGTTGACTTCCATGTAGAAACTATCACACCTCACGTGAGAGTAATTCTTGAACTGGGTGATTAGGAGGGAGGCAGACTGGAGGCTATTGTGATGATTAGCAGATATATCACAGAGTGCAAATATATTACACTAAACTAGTTTTCTGAAGGTTTGTTACTACATTTAACAGCTTTCTACTATTAAACAACCAGTTAGTTTAAATTTTGGAGGATAAAATGACTTTTTAAGCAGCATCAGTATTTAGAGATATATGGACTACATGTTGATTAGGCTAATGTAATGTTCATATACTAATGTTCATGTACTGTAAAATATAAAAACAGGCATATTTAACATGGTTTGAGGTGCTTGGACAGTCACACAAGCACCTTCTACATCAATTTTTTGTATTGTGACCATCATTCCACTAGCATATTGCTTTTGCAGAGGCTGACAGTATTAAACGGTTATGATATCAGAGTCGATGTTGTCAGAGACCTACCACTCGAGCAGGTTCCTCATAGTCAATCTTGAGATTGGCCATGGCTTTGATAATGGCCATAATGGACTGGATTGTGTTGCTGTAGACAACGGCTCTGTACTGCTTACACTCATCTTCTGAGTATCCATCTTCATGAATAATCCTGAAAATAGAACAGAGAGGAAGAGGGTGTTTAAAAGAATTAAACTGATATTTCATCTGATTCATAAAGCATCTAATCCTGCCCGTCTGTGATCACAAATCAGAACACTGGTGGGATGTGGTATGGGGTAAATTCGGCCATTTATGTATTTCTCAGCTACACAACACTAAAACTTAGTATTTACTTGCTTTTGTAGCTGTGGACAGAGGAAATAAGAAAAAGAGTGATGTGGTCAAAAAAGCATGGGGATGAGACAGAAGTCGCTGGGTTGGAAACCAAACAGAACCATGTCCTCTGCATCGTCACAGCCCAGAGACCAGAGTCACACAGCCAGGATGCTCATTGGCTGTGTCATGTGTTGAATAGGACACTATGAGGCGCAAGTGAGAGAACCCTGGCTGTGTCATGTGTTGAATAGGACCTCATTAAAATGCAAGTAAGCCAACTGTGAGACACTATGAGGCGCAAGTGAGAGAACCAAAGGTTCACAATGTTTCGTCCTTATATAAACAATATATGCAATACTTTAATAAAATCCTTACTGATTGACTTCATTGTGAAGCACTAAGCAAACCTTGTTTTATAATGTTTGAACATAATATTAGGACCAGGCTGTCACATATGGAAAAATGATAAGTTCTTTGAAGCATAACTTTCTGAATATCAGGAACTTGTACTTTCTACACCTAAATACCTTGTCCAAACACAGTTTGTACTTATTTGAAGATATAATAATAGCCAATCAATGAGATTACCCCCCATTAACAAATTAGATGGTTCACCCTGCATGTGATATCTCCCTCTTAGTGACGAGGGTTAAGGTAAAATGGCTATGTGCCAGACTAGCTGGAACCTCAAACTCTATAGATCACGAGTGTGCACAGAAGCTGGACAGTGGCCTGCTCCAGTTTGAGCAATGGCCATTCTTGGCATTTGGAGCTCTTTTTTTGGTGGTGGGGCTGGGACTTCATGTATTTTGTGAGGAAGAAACATATCAGCCAGCACAGCAGTGTGGCTCACTCCTGTGTTTTAATAGGTTTTGGAGAACAATAGAGGTCTACGGCAACAAATGTATTAAACCAAAAATAGTGAATACACAAAATTCATTGTTGTTTTAGTCTCTGTATGGGATTTGTGGTGGTGGGGGGGCTTTTTTTTGCCCCCCTCTTTAAAAATTCTGCCTTATTCTTTAACAACTGTTTCCTTCTTCTCTAAGGCTGGTGATAAATGTTCCTGGTGTATTGTCTGCTAATGGCCTATTTTCCAGCCTGTTGGCCCTGAGCGAAAGAGTACCATAGCAACTGGGCCAACATCTGTACATTACTCACTATATCAGCTAGCTAGAAGATTTAATTTATCATAGGGGGGGTCATCCCTGTATACAATATCAGCTGCAGCACAGAAACAAGGCAAATGTATTTATATAGCACACTTTCATACACAAAAGTAATTCAAAGGGCGAAGACAGCTCACCTTTGAGTTTATGTCCCTGTCAGAACAGAAAGTTAAGCTTCCCAATAGAAACTACAGTAGAAAACGGCATACATACCTGCATCATATAACCAAGTTTTGTTCAGAGCATCAAAATAAGTGTAGGTGCATTTGAGGTATTCATACCAGTCTCTCAAAGTCAGCCTCTTAAAATATCAGCCTCAAATATTAATATCAACCATGAATTATGGAATTTTAATAAATAAAAATAACTATAAATGAAAAATCTAGTTGTATTATTTTAATGTAGTTATAATTAGATTACAAATAAATTTATAACACCAATGGAACTGTAATGCAATTAAGGTTATTGGAGTGGTTTGATGGCAGACTGGCTTCAAATAACACTGAAGCACAAAAACAAACACCACTCATTAAAATATAACATATTATACACAAAATCATCAAGTACAACAAACCCAAGGCACAGCTTTTTAAGTCTTTGCTAGATGGTGGAGCTACTGTATCTACAGATGTTATTTATGTGCATCTGCATTGTGTGTGTGTGTGTGTGTGTGTGTAGTACTGAGTGATCCTCAAATAAATACTGAAAAACCATCTGTTTAAATATTCCTTAAACAACAGGTAGGCTGATGAGAATATTAAATCATCAGGCGTGATGGGAGGAAAGGCAAAACAATGAGCATTTACTCACTTCATTTGCTTCACAATGGTGCTCTTCCCTGACTCTCCAGCACCTGCAGAGAGAACAAAAAAAAGACAGAGGTTAAAAATATGCTCCCGTTAAATGAAAAATGTAAACAGGCAGTCAGAGTGGTCACCTCATATCCTCACCCTTGCCTTACTCCTCACAGCCTTCAGGCTTCAACAGATCTGATCTCTCATTTTCATCCTGGAGCAGTCCCGTTCTCTCTCACCATATACCTACAGGTATTCTGCCTCTTCAGCTACAAGCCAGTCAGCCATTTCTATGTGGTTTGAACTGTAATGGCAATTTAAAGTGGTCTAAGCAGTGGAAACTTTTTGGGTGAAATCCTAGATGAAGAGGCACTGAGAATGTGGACTGTACAGCTAGAGGGAACGTTTCACTCCTGTTACAGAATCTGAATTAATGGTAGGCTAATGTTGTAAATGAGTTCATTCTCCAGCCACAGTTCATTCAGTTTTCCCTCCATTTTAGTTGTCCCGCTGAATTTAACACTACTGTTCTTTTTAATTACCATTCTTGAATCTTTACCTTTATCCTTTGTTTATTTACCAGTACATCTCCCTTGGGTGACACATACATGTCACAACTGGTGATACATGATGAGCATTGGTGTCATTTCTGCTGGTCGCACACTTCCCAATTTTTGTTACTCGGCATCCACAGCGCAAGACTGGGAAAATAGGTAATGGAAGAGCACTGCAAGAGCCCTACAAAATGGCTTCCAGCAGGTTGTTTGTGTGCACATTTCTGATCAGACTATGAGAAACATACTCCATAAGGGTGGCATGAGGTCCTGAGGACCTCCAGTGCAACCCGTACTCACAGTCCAGCAACATGCAGCTAGATTGGCATTCACCAGAGAACACCAGAATTGGCAGGTCTGCAACTGATGCCCTGTTCTCTTCAAAGATGAGAGCAGTTTCACATTGATCACATGTTGATGGCGTAAACGAGTCGGTATACGCCGTTGTGAACGTTATGCTGCATGTAACATCGTCAGGCATGACAGGTTTGGTGGGGAGTCAGCGATGGCATAACCAATGGTACTCTGACTGCTGTGAGATACTGGGATGAAATTCTCAGAGTGACTGTCAGACCTTACGCTGGTGCAATGGGCCATGGGTTCCTCCTGGTGCAGGACAATGCCTGGCCTCATGTGGCCATAGTGTGTAGGCAGTTCTTGGATGATGAAGGCACTGATGCCATTGACTGGCCCTTACGTTCCCCTGACCCAAATCCAATTGCACACCTATGGGACATTATGTATTGGTGGGAGGAAATGCCCAGGACACCATCCACAGACTCATCAGGACTATGCCCAGATGTTGCTGGGAGTGCATACATTCACACGGAAGTTGTACGCACCTCTGAGATACATTACGAGTTGCTGTGATGAAATTCATGCAACTTTGATTAGCCTGTGATTTCAATTTTTCACGTTGATTTTCAGGGTGATTTCGAATACAGCCCTCCATGGGCTTATGAGTTTGTTTTCCATTGACTGTTATGTCATTTTGTTCTGAACAAATTACACAATGTACATTAATAAAGGTTTTCAACTTGAATAATTCATTCATCAACATCCGATGTATGATTTGGTGCCCCCTTGATTTTTTTTTTAAGCAGTATACTTTCTAGAACAAAGACTTCATGAATCTGACTGCCTGACGCCAAGCTAACAGGCCCTTTTTTCACCACACACACACACACACAGAGAGAGGCTCTCCTTAAAGTAGTAAACATGCCCTTTGGAGTTTGCCCAGTGAAACTGCTGTTAACAGTTAGAAAAGGGAGGTGAAGTATGGCACATGCCTTGGTGTCTGCTGTGATTAGCAAATACACAGCAGCGCTCTTTACTGCAAAATATAAATACACTTAATGTCCTAGCAGACTCCGTGTGTTCTCAGTTTGCAAGCATGTGTATGTTCAAATGATTTGCCAAAACAGTCTGTTTCTCTTTACAAGACAGCAACTTCAATGTGAGAGGAACTGAAATTTTACCAAAATTCATATTAGAGAGTAAACAGGGATTTTATGTACATCTCCAAAAGAGATAAACAATGTTCTATTGCTGCAGTAATGCTTATTATTGGTACTTCAGCAACCACAGTGTAGAGGCAGAGGAAGTACAGCCACTGGTGCACATGGTTTCTACTAATAAAACCTTAACTGAATAAAACTCACACACATTCAGTAAGACAGCTGGGGCGGCTAAGGGATGATAGAGGATTCTTTTGTTATGGTCACTGATATGATATGAGTGGCAATCACTAAAAACTGGGACCATTATCTGTATGGTGTTAGTGGTTCTGTGGGGAAAAGCTGTGGCAGAAATTCTGCGCCTCATGGCAGTCTGACTGATACCACTGATCATGACACTATTACACAAAACACTTTATCTGACCTGTGGCTACTGCTGCATTATCATCCTATCTCCCTCTGGACCTTTTGAGGCTCAGAAACCTAGTTGCATAAACAAACATACACAGACTGCTTCAATTTGCCCTTTTGATACTGGCAATTTCCAAAGAATTTTTAAGAAATTTTTATGACTCAGTGATGAACAAGCGGAGCTTCTCTTTACAGTAACTTACTGTTGGTCATGGTGGCTGAATATACAAGTCATCATGTTAGGGCACAATACAGTTAACTCTTAAAAACAAAGTTTGATCTAACCTAAGAACAAATAATCCAATCTTTAGTTCATCTCTTCTAAAAACAGACTGAACTGACATTACAACTCAAGATGAAATGAAAGACGCAATCATTGAAAGTCCCCCTCAACTAAAAAAAAAATTGTTTTTCTTGGCATCCCATTGGGTCAGGTAATATATCAAAAAGTGTGTCACACTCCCAGGTTACCTGGTGGTTTCATTAATTTAATTGTTAGAAAACTAAAAGGGAAAAACAATACTCTTGTTTGTACATAGACATGTGACTGATTTTGCACTTGGAACTTCAGGACACAACTGGGTATACCTGTAAATGGAAATCTACCCGTTTGAAGCAGAGCAGGTAGCTACTTAGGGGCTCAAACAGGTGGCTTTAGGACCTGTGTACAATTAACTAGCCTAGGTGTAAAGCTACATGTTAAGAAATCAGTCCAACAGCAGACTGAATGTGGGTCACCATTACAGCCAATGGATAGCAAGTAGCTTTTCAATGCCACACTGCTTCCTGAACTTTACTTCACTAACAGACAACGGACATGCTTGAGTTATATTCACTGTATCAGCAACCCTTGAGCTGCATTTTTCATGGTGGGAAAAAGTGATATAACACCACAAACAATAAAATGTAGCAAAACCCTACCACCTACCCTTGTCCAAAGTATAAAATATCTGAAGCAGTCCAGTGGTCAGACACAGAAAGCCTTGGTGAACTATGCAATTGCCAACATTACTAAGAAGCTTTCTTGGCTAACAAAGTCACCAAGAAAAAAAACAAAACAAATCTGTTGAGGACTGGTTTCTTCACAAAGGGCCACCAGTTTCATCACTTTTCTTTCTATCTGTGAAACCTACATTCTAATAAGGAATTTCAGTTTTCTTTTGCTAAAATAGAATCTGAGAGGAGAATGGATAGATCTTCGTCTACTCCCACATTTGACCAGTGATGAAACTCAATGAGAAGTGTGTCAGCAAGTTCTTCTGAGAGAATTCCTGGCATGTTTGCAACATCCCTAGAGCTTTGTTATTCAGAGAAGCATGGTAAAACTGACAAGTCCAGATATGAAAGAATGAAGAATACTTGTCTATGAATACTGTCATGTGACAAGATTGTGGATCAACATCTAAAACAATGAACTTTTTTCTTCATCTTCTTGCGGTACCTACTTATTGCACCATAATCCTGCAGCCACAACCTCATCAAGTTTAAAAAGTAACAGCTTCAAAGTTCCACCAAAAGGTGGTATTAGGGCTTTAATTCTGTGTGTGAATAAATGTGCATGTCTTTGGAACAAGTGTGACCCATCATGGAGGGACTGGAAGCAGGACACAAAGGCAGTAGTGTGGGGCCCTGCTAGCTGAGAACACAAGCTCGCTGTTGATGTTTAGGCTTGAGCCATTCCAGTCAGTGATAGAGCACACACAAGCAAACAGTCACACTGGTCCACCTCCTTTCAGTCAGCATGACAACTGCCTTCACCAGCCATAGCAAATCACTTTACTGCCGGGTAGTAGAGAAAAGGCTTGAGGGAACATGGCTGAAGAAGTTAAATCTCACTTCTGATGAAAGGAACATGTTAAATGGTGAAATTAGTTCAGACAATAACCACTGAAGGCCAGAAAATGCTCAAACTATCTGAAATAAAATAAAACAGGTCTGTCATGCCAGATTATTACAAACCTGAGCATTATCTTGATTAGTGCAAGAGTAAAATCCCTATTACTTCTATGATACACTAAGATTTTGTTTAAGTGCCCAGAAACGCAGCAATAATTTCCTCACAGTCCACTGATGATCTTGTGAAACAAAGTCTATCAACAGTCATCTCAGAGAGAGCTTGATGGTGCTTTTGGCCAAAGCAACAATGTCAGTGTTCCTGTTTTTCATTAAAGGGGAGATGTGAGAAATTACTGCAGTTGTGAAGAGGGAAAAAGAAACTGCATTTTGATGTAAACCAAAGCAAATGGTTGGAATGTAATTCAACCAAACATTTATACAAACTGGACATAATTCTGTCAATTTTATGAACTTTTCTATCTAACTTTTTTCTTTCATATTTAGAGTTTTTCCTACTCCTCACTCATACTAAGTGGTCAGTAATAGCTTTGCTCAATGAGAGTTAAAATGGTCTCAAAAAGTGTGTGGGTATAATAACCCCAACACAAGTACAATAGCTCTGTGATAGATTAGCGACTTGTCCAGGGTGTACTCCGCCTCTCACCTAATGTCTGCTGGGATTGGTCCAGGCCCCCCATGCAACCCTCTTCACGATAGGCAGTATAGATAATGGATAGATGGACAAATATAATAAATTATAATGCAAATGACCAGGAATTTCCCTGCAAGGCTGCTGTCCTG